TAAAAGTACTGATGCTATATTTTCTTTTCTATCTGACTGCTCTCTTTACTTAACAAAACAATGCAGGATCAAGAATTTTTGGCTAACTTGAGCTCCATTATCATATCAATTAAGAAGTCTTTTTTACCTTTTACTAATATAGCTGTGAGAAGAGAGTTCAATTCAGATATTCCAGTTGAGTCTTAACTCTTAACTTAAGTAAAGATGCAAATGGACTAGAGACTGCATATTGTAGAGGAAAAGAATGCTTCATCAACAATGACTGGGATGTTATTCAAAGAAAAATGCAGCTTCCTTCCTCTATGTGCACTTTGTACAGATTTGCTCTAATGTCAGGTATATGTTCTTACCTGAAAGAGAAAAATTGAAGGAAGGGGATGGAACTGAAGTTGGCTTTGTAATATCTTTCCTGATGCTTGCAACAGGAAACGAAAATACATTACTGAAGGGAAAGTATCACCACAGAGTGGATGTAAGAGAGCTCCAATGCTTTAAATGCTTTTTCTTTCTTTTATGAGAGTGGATTTTTTTCTTTTAGATAAGTTTTCCCTAACTACTTTGGTCCAGAAAATAATGGTAAGTGTTCTAGAGCCAGTGTGTGGAATGAACACTGTGTGTTTACAGTACTCCTTCTGTCCCAGAGTGACAGTGTTTCAATGAGAAAATGTATAAACCAGACAGCTTTTTTGTTCTTTTTTCTTTCTTTCTTTTCTAAGACTAATGGAATTTTCTGAATTCTAGCTCTGTGGAAGCCTGTTACATTCCTGAACATTATGGATAAGAGTTCCTGCAGCCCATCCCTGAATGTGAACGAGCATGTTTATTTGTTACCCGTAATCCCACTGAACATTCAGCACCAGCACCACTAAGAAGCACTCATTTCCCAGGCTTCTCCAAGCCCTGAGGCTGAAGCTGTTTCCTGTAGCCTACAAACAAATCCTTCCATTGCCTGAAGATGCTCCCAGGTCTGGTTTTCCCTAGACAGGCTGGGGATGGGAGCAGAAGAGGCTCTGGCTGTAGCCCAGCTGCCCGGGGCTGCTGCAGGTGCCAAAGCCAGGAGCCACTCACGCCTGGACCTTGGACAGCCAAGGCTGTGCCTGGGAAGGGCTTGGCAGGATCAGGGCTGGCTGTGCTGGCACCACAGAGCCCTCCAGCAGGAGCAAACATCAGATTTGGTTCTCCCTAAAAAGGAGGGCTTGGTCTCTCCCCACGGGCTTGCTCTCTCCCCACACCCAGCCCTGGCCCGGCTGCCCCAAGTCAGTATAATTTAATTTATTCTGCTGAGAAGCCTGGTTTACCCTTTAGCTCTCTACAAATGAAGTGCAAGTGATAAGGACAGCTATTCTTCTAGAGTCTGTTTCTCTGTTTTGTTGAAGTTGAGAGATTAAACACAATTCAAAGAACGCCATTCCGCATCTTGAAGTGACGTCCTCAGAGTGGAAAGATTCCATCTGAAAACATCAGAGCCTGGCAGAAAGACAGCAGAGTAGTTCTTCAATAAATAATTTCAAGGCCAATATAGACTGGGGTACTGATCCTGTGAGAACAATTTTTATTTGGAGTTATTGAGACAGCTGCTTTCCTCCTGAGACTAAAAGCTCCAAACATCTCAGAGTAATTTCTTATCTCTGCTTCTAAGAACTGTCTGTGTTTGGTACAAGTGGTGTCAGATGAACCTAGCAAGATGCAGTTAGAAAGAACTGGGGTGTGCATCCATGTATGGCACGGGGGGATTTTTTCCTTAAGGGCCATTTAATGGGAATTTTTTATATTAAAACTCATGTATTATGGTTTAAAAAAAAAAAAGAGAGAGAGAGAGAGAGAAATGTACTGCCAAAATGGTGGGAATTCAAATTTATTCAGCATAAGCTAATAGTTGGACAAAACTATTTGGTTCCATGCATGTTTCCAGCCACAGTGCTGCACTAAGTGATACCTGTCTTAAGAAAGGTCAGGACTATGAATAGCAACATAAAAGTAGAGTAGAGTGAACTGTTAAAAATTCAGTCCCTGCAATCATCAGCATCATACATCTCCTCTTTCCACGTAAAAGAAAACTACAGCAATATGAACTATCATTACAGCAAATTTTAATTGTTTACATTTAAAGTTATCATTTCAGAATAGATATTTTCCAGCTAAAGAAAAATTGTTCTAACTTTTTAAAAATACGTATATTTCTTTTGGTGCTAGTAAAGTTTATACTAACAGATGTGATCATCATTGCACCCATTCCATTGAGAAGAATATTTGACATAAAAATGAAGCATAGAAAGTTCTGAACCAGATATATAGCTACATTTTCAGATCTAGGTTGGAATTAAAAAAAAATCAGACAGATGTAGATTTATATAAACTGAAACAATAGATTATATCAAAACATTGCTTGTCAATCTCCTGCTCTACTCTGCTAGTAAGAAACATTTTCACATGCTGATAATGACTTATTGGAAAATCTACAAAACACAGTGTTTGTCTTGATATTTTTCTTGGGTTTTTCATCATTTCATAAACAGAAGAAAAGAGTTATTATTATTACCAGTGAACTTGCAAAAGAGTATTTACCTTGTAAGACTGGTTGAGAAAGTGTAATTTTATCTACTTTTTCTCTGATATTACAATGGACCAACAGCAATTACACAAAAAAAAAAAACAAAAACCAAAACCACAAAAAAAAAAACTACAGGACTAGTCTAGTGTATCTGCGAGACTCACAGAAATAAAAGTTACAATCCAAACAGTTGAATACTTTTGATGAGTTCCAAAACACAGCTAAGTACTCTGATAGCTCTGGACCAGTTTTGGAAGGTGCACACGAAAGACATTTGAGGACATCTTTTTTATATGGACCAAAGAGCTATGAATTCAACAGAAACTTCTCCAGTTAATTCAGTGTTTTTGGTGAGGCCCCCAGGTAAATTTGCTGTGCCAGTACAGTAATCACGCAGTATCACATCTTACAGCAGTATCAGCTATTTCAGAAAGCTGTTTTTAACTGGGCTCAGGAGCATGATAACTGAATTACTCATGTAGGATTCAGTGGCTGTCCACCTCCTTGGACAATCTCTACTTTGTACTCTGAGATATACTGGGGACAATGGAACTTTTGTGCCTTCCAGTGTTTAGGCAAATAAATTTTTAACTTCATTACAGTGTCTAGAAAAATGATATAAGAACATATAAGGTCACACGTAAGGAAGGAATGAAGATTGGCAAAGTCATGGTATGTACAAATGCACCAAACTATTACATGCTACCTATCTCAGGTTGTTGGGGTTTTTTTTAGTTCTGGTCTTTCAAGGAAAGGATAAGAACTACTTTACAAATATAACCAACTAGAAAAAAAGTTAATATTTAATTATGTCCCCAAACCTTGCATATATTATTCAGTTTAAAGACAAAAGACAAAGTTATTCTGTAAAAAAAAAAATAAAAAAAAATTCCCTAACCAGAAATTATATCAACATTTACGCTGGAAAACAAAATATGCACTTTTACTCAGTTATTTTGAAAAATTGAGCTCTGTTCTTAAAATCTCAGCATCATCTGGGTGGCATAAAAGCTTTTTATCATTAAATTAATCTGACATGAAGTAACATATGGGTGTGGAGTAATCTGCATTTTGATCAGTTGCAGAATGACAGAAAGGTTAACTGTAGGATTAATTCCAGACAGGACAGCTGGGCAATACATTTGAATCTTTAGGTCTGCATCTAGAACTTGCACAGATTTCATGTGGCTCATTTGATGTACCCACAATAAAGTGCTCATTTAAAAAGCTGCATCACAATTCACAAATGAGAGGCTTCAAACATTCAATTATTAAAAACAATTTATGCCCACATAGCAACCAAATGATATTTAGATACCCACAGTTGTAAATATTAAATATATAATAAAAGAAGAAGCCCATGAAGAATAATTCCTGTAGGACATAGATAAAGTGCAAAGAACTCTTGGGAGTAACACAATGGATTAAAGATCAGCATAACAATATAAAAAATAATTTTGTCTTGGTAAACATGAAGAGACCCAGCACTGACACACTCCAAAGGGTGTTTTCAGAGCTGTGTTCTCTATTTCCTGATCAGTACAAGTGAAGTACCACACTGGGTGTTGAGCTGAAACTTTTCTGTTCACTTCCCTTTAGTGAAAATAGAAACTGCCTAAAGACAATGACTGCTCCAGCCATAGGCCAGACTCAGGACAGAAGGACAAACCACTCTTAGACAGGAGGCCTTAGCAAGGAAAAAGTGGTATAATAAGAGATGGGGTTCATTTTAATAGGCCTTTCCCTCTACAAGAATCACAGGGCTTTTCAACCATCATATTTCATCATTTCACATGGCATAAACAATTTTACCTCAGCTCTTAAAGCGTGCCTGCACAGAACAACTGAAGAAAACTGTCAGGCAATAAACCAAATTTCAAGCTACAAATTCATACTGCAATCTCACTTCGAATAAAATTTGCACTGTAGTCAGCATAATGGAGTTTGTTTCCTAAAAAATTCTAGCAGGATGAAACTAATATGAACATTTTCACAGAACATTCTTGAATGAGTACATTATTACATTGACAGACCTATTTGGAATGTTAGATTCTTTTATTCTTATAGTATTACATTTGTTTGGAGATTTTGTTTCAATTTTAGTGTTACTTTGAGTTAAGAATGCAATCTCTTCCTCAGTAATTTTTGTTAACAGAATGATAGTTCAATTTAAAGTGGTTGAAATACCTTATTTAAAATAATTACCAAACTTTATTAACAGTATATTTTCAATGACTCCTGCAATTTTCCATTAAGTTTATTCAACCAAATTGACTAGGAGATTATTTCTTTCTTTCTGTGGAGTTACATAAAACTCTTTGAAATGGCATGAGTAGAATAATTAATAAATTTTAATAATGGAATGCATTGTACTAGGAAAAGTTCATTATAGCACACTGTCACCCACTGCATCCCAATTCTCCACTGTTTTGTTACTTTTATTCCTTACCTCTTTGTTGGCTCTGTCTGCTTGAACTAATGTTCCATTCAGACACGGCTCTACATAGTGGAGTTCTTCATTATACTATAGAGGAAAATACAAAGTATGAAGAAAAATTTAATTAAAAGCTTGGAAGATACAAGTCAATTTAATGACTTAGAACTACAGTGAATGAAATAAGCACAGAAAGTAAGAACAAAAGGATTTTGTTCATTTTTAAAAACCAGCTGTGGTATTTCTTTTCCTTTTACATTATTCTTAATTTTTCAGAGGTTTATACTTCCAAAGGAGCATTGAATGGATGCCAAAACTCAGGTGGACTTAAGGGAACTATTTACCACTAGCTGGCAAAAATATCCCACAAATTGAAATCTGGATTATATTAAGAGATCATGTTTGATATAGCACAAACTGAACTCATAATTATTTTCTAGATATAAGAAAAGTCCTGAAAAATATTTATGGCACTGTCTAACATTTTGAAAGGTTAACACTGGAACAACTACACCAAAAAAAATCTGTAAATTGAATCAGTCCTATAAATGGCTGACAATTTTCAAAATTTCAGTCAAGCAAAGAGGTTTATTATAGACAAAGTCATGAATAAGTGACAGATCTTGAAGGAATTATCTGTTTTTCTCACAAGGTGTCGGTAAGCCACATAGCCTAGTTGTACATTCAGAAGCATTCTAAACATTAAAATAAAATGAGAACTCATCTGCAGTCAGTAGAACTTGTAACAAATGATTGACTGAAATTTGAAATTTGGACTTGTTTCAATCTTTTAAACTTTTCAACACAGGTCAAATTAATAAAGCAGTACCCCCAACAAATAGTTTTCTAGATAGAGCCTTAATTGAATTCCTTCTCCCACTAATTTAATCTCCTTTAGAAGTAGATAAGTCATCACAGATCAAACTGTAAGGAGTTTGCATCTAGGCTTTAGGTGGTTTCATCCTTTCATAAAGGATTAAGTGAATCAGAACATCCACATTAAACAACATAAAAACAATCAGGGAAACATTTCATTAGATTAATGTGATCTACTCCCTTCTTCCTCCACCTCAGTGGGACTAAAGAAAGCCCTCCAATGGCTGACTTGTAAAAAGCTACTTAGGCAGGGGTCTGTGTCACTGTGAATTCTCACTGTCTCTCTCTGCCTGTAGCTCTAAATTTTCTCTGCTCCCTTCAACCTAACACCACTGCTCTCTGCAGCACAGACCCCTGGAACCTGATCCGCTCTGGACACCTGTCGTCACCATTCATTCCAGCAGTGCACTACTCACCACACTCATCACCACATAATTACTCCTGCACAGGGAAGAGTATTTAGTTTGAACTGCTTGGAGGCACTGTGCCAGACTCAGTCCTCAGCTATAAGGGAATATAAACCCAGAGTAACTTGCTATTGCTGGATATACAGATGATTGATATCAGCATCAGCATAGGAACTGGTAATATAGAAACAAGCGAAAAATACTTTAATGATATATATACACATAATTTCTGCAGCAGATTTGCATGCTTCCTAATTGTTTTATTGCCATCAATGTTATTTCAATGTGTGAGAGTGTATGGACTTTTCTATTGTTCCATAGGCAATACAAAGTACAAGGCAAAGGCTTCTAGAACAGTTCAGAGTGGCTGAGAGTGTCCCATGTGCATCTCAGCCTCATAACAGTTTATTGATCTGATAAATGATGTATTTTCCCCTGTAGTTTCTCTCTTCAGACTGCTTTCCAATCTATCTCCTGAGAGTCATTGCAAAACAATAATGCCAAATCTACACAGCATCTCTTATTATAGTCCAAAGTCAAGACCACACTGCATTATATTTTAAAAAATAAAATACAGAAAATCTGTGACACTCTGGTTCACCAGCCCCTACCCCCAAGATTTTTTGTGGTCATACACAGGTTTTTCTCAATATGCTCTTTCATCAAGATACTTTCCAGTTCAGCCTGTTCTTAGTTTTATCTCTGTAGCTGTCATTGGAAACTACAAGACCATACATATTTATCTTTATATCATACCAGGCACAATGTCTGCAACTGGCCAACGTGCAATAAAATGCTAAAGGCTCAAACACTTGCACGTAAGCAAGGTCAAGTTTTCCTAATTTTGTAGCAACATCACTTTATCTTTTTAAGGTCTATAACCACCAGCAAATAAATGAAACAACTTCCTACTCTATCAAACCTTGCATCTAAATAGTTGTAATTTCTGTTCGCTAGATTTCTCTAAGATTTAACTACTATTTTGAGTAACTCATGCCATCAGGCTAGTCACAGAGCCTGTAGCTGCCCCACAACCCAGAGAGATTCCAGCAGTTTCCCACTGAGCCTCCAGTGTCCCACAGTTGTGCAGGATAAAGGACACTGACACTGCCACAGAGGACGTGCTTCAAGTCCCTTCACAGCTCCCTTTCACAGAAACAACCAGCTACAGAAAAGGTTGGTTCTGTGAAAGGGAGCTGTGAAGCTTTCATTCTCACATAGAGAACACAATTGCATAGAAAACATAGACGTTGATCCTTCTGAAACCCTAGCAAATTGTGTCACTATTTCCACATGTGGCATCTGATTCACCTTGAGATTATTAGTACCAAAATTATGTTAAGCAAGGTAGTATACATGGCAGAAATAGCTGGATGGTGCCAACGTCTGAAAAGGAATCTATTATGTAATCGTGTTCTAAGATAGCAAGCATTGGAGATGTTCTCTGTGTTGTGCATCTACATCTACATCTGTACAGATATAAATGAAAGCACTGTAAGAAAAATCTTTATATAAAAAGGTGTAGAAGCTTCTCATGGCTTGAATTCTTGCAAGGGTGGATTTTAATGACCTATTTTAATTTTTATCTCTTTACTAATTGGATACACTAATAATTTTTTTAAAGTTTCAGATATAAAGAGATTGAAAAATTCACTAGATAGAATTATTTCAGAGCAAAAAGAGCATCTGCCTAAGTCCACAAAAACTGGACTTCTGATGTAACATGTGAAAGCATTCAAGCAGTGTTTGCTACTTAAATTTACATACCCATTTGATCCCATTTGATAAGACCCTTACTACAGCTATAACTTTCTAGTAAAACACCTAACTTCTGCTTCCTAGCATATATTTGATTTTTTTGCTTTTGTCATAGGGTGTTTTATAGTGATATTGGTGATGCCTTTCTTTTAACTGTGGCAAATCTTTAAAGTGTAAAAAGGGAAAATATTCATCCCTCCTCCACTTCCTCACTACCTCATCAGTAATTTGGCCTTAGTCCTGCATTTCTTCTGACATTTGAAATTTCATATTTAGCAAAATAACTTCCTGATCTGATTCACAACTGCTGACTTCCCCAGCAATGCCCAGTAAAGATGTCTTGTTAATTTACCTCAGTGAAAGGCTGCATTTGGATTTGGCTTTTCAAGAGTCCATGCATTATGGTGTTTTCTCACATTTCCCAGTGTTACACATCCCATTCCTCCACACCCTGGCATGTGACAGTAGTGACAGCAGTAGCTGGGAAAGCTGATACCTGCACAATAGCTGGGAATAGCCTGGGTTTTGCTGAGGGGAAGGAGGTTAAAATTAATTACCTTCCTTTCTGAGCTCCTCTTTGAAAACCCTGGGTTACTCTTGTAATTTAAACATGTAATTACACTGATATTTATTATTTTATTTACGTAGTTATAGTTATCTGTCTTATTAATTCACATTATTTTATCCCTCTTCTTATTTCTTTGCACAATAGGCATAAAAATGTAAGTGAGCTAAAATGTGGACTAAGAAAAACCATATAATTATTTAGAGAGTTGCTGGCCTACATTCCATAATAAGATACCATTCATATTCTGAAAGTGAGATATATATATATGGTTTTAGCACACCTACACAAGTAGTATACATCCTCCTTAGCATTTTCCATGTTTCTTCTTTGTCACATTTAAGCTGCCTGACACGAGATCCACAGAAATAAATTAAATTTCCATTTTGTTGTGCAACAATACACAGACAAAAGATTCACATTATATTAAAACGTATTCAGATATCCAGTTCAGCCCAGCCTCAGTAGCCAATCCAGAAAAGGAACCAAAGGAATTGGTGTTTCTATAGTTTATTGTGCCAAACAAGTGACACACAAGCACAGGCCACTGCTTGGAGACTTCATATGGAGGTGCATTTTGGCTGCCTCTCTTTGTCAGCCTGCTCACACATCAGCTCTACAGAATCTGATTATTCAGGCAGGCTGAAAAGTAAATTTATCCATGGTCTACTCTGTAGGAATAAAAAAATAAATTAAAAAAGAGACTATTTATATTAGAAAATTCTACATATTATCACTGGGAGCTATACTACTGTGCTTTGAATTAAAAAATACTTTTATTCTAATCAATTTTGCTAAAAGGGTGTGTCTAAAGCAGTAAAGTTAATTTAACATTCTTGGCTTGGTTAATACTTTGCTAATTCAGTGCAGAGTTTATATAAAAGCATTTTAAAAATTTCAGCATTTGACAAAATTAGTACTCGTTTTATGATAATGTTGTTAATTTAATGCTTGACTTGGAATTATACTTCAAAGTGAATTGGAAAAACATGCCTTTTCTCTTGGTGTTGCAGATATCTCTGTTCATGCACCAGTGAACTGACCTTAAATTTTAACATAGGCAGCACAAAATTGCTCTTGTATTTAAATAATTTTTTCTGCAATTCAATCATCTAGTCCATCAATTTCAAAAGGATATTGCAACAACCTACCCATGAAAGCTAAAATAATCTTTAACATTATCCTTTTATGTTTATTTTCTGGAAAGACCTGCAGTGAATTTTGCTTTCTGATATATAGACATTTATATCGATATGTATACAGAAATACATTATTATTATTCATTCTGTTAATCAGTGTGCTTAATAAAGCCATGCTCATAGTCACGGTCATTCAAGTTCAAAATTTTGCGTCATCTGGTGAGTACAGACAGTTTGTCCTGATTTCTCACACTAATAAAGCTCTTATTCCATCTCAGATTTTCGGCTGGGGAGGGAGGGGGTGCTTGGCCATTTGTCTGAGAATTCCAGATGCCCAGGAGCCCTCGGAGAGCAAGAATTTGGAGTGGCCTTTTAGAGCAGCCTGAGCAAGGCTCAGCTGGGTGCTGTGTGAAGGGTCAGTCTCACCATCAGGGCACAGCAGCTCCATTTTTGCACACACTGCACAGCTGGGCAGCTCTGGAGACAGAGGGGATCTGCTCCTACAGAGGAGATTTCTTGGACTGACATATGTATATCCTACCTTCAAATGAAACTGCTGGCACATCAGCAGGCTACGTGTGAATTACAAAGAGTAAGATACAATCTCACTCAAACATTTGTCTATAGATAAAAGCTGGATGGGATTTTCAGGGCTTTCACACCAAGCAGCCTCTTGTGTGGGCGTTGTTGTCTCATGTTTTGATCACTGGAACATCTATGTTCTTGACAAATTTCATTTGCCCCGCTGGCACTTGGTCAAAGCGATGCCTGGGAAGCAATTTCTGCAGATAACAGAAATCACAGTGGCTGGCTTTGCTGTGTCCCCTCACTGTGTCTTTCACACAGCACATTTTGAAAGCAGTTCATAGTTCAGCCCCAGCCTACGTGTGCCATTCCTCATTGAAATGCTCACTCCCTTCTCCACAGCACAGATCTCTCTCGCTAGTTTTCTCTATTTTCAAGCAATTTTTTGTTTGTTTACACTGTTATTTTTTTTTTGCCTTATGAGAGAGCAAGAGGAAGTTGAGTCAAGGGAATTTAGATTACATACTGGGAAAAGATTTTTTGACCCAGAGGGAGTGGAACAGGCTCCCCAGAGGAGTGGTCACAGCACCAAGCCTATCAGAGTCCGAGGAATGTTTGGACAATGCTCTCAGGCACAGGGTGGGATTCTTGGGGTGTCCTGTGCAGGGCCAGGAGTTGGACTTGATGAGGCTGATGGGTCCCTTCTAACTCAGCATATTCCATTATTCCATGACTTAGTACAAAACACTCCCTACAAACTCTTCCTGCAGAATTCCAAGGCAAAAGGACAGCTCTTTACCCAACTCCTGTCATGCTTACTTGGTCCCCTACATTTCTGTGGCACCTCTGTCAATGCAATGAACAACTTCAGGCTCATATTTGCACATCAACCTCCTAATGAAATTAAACAGCTGAGCTCATAAGCATAAAAACACATTCTCTATTGCTGTTTCTACTTATTTAAACAAACACACACATATCCATCCTAAAAGAGGTTCTAGAGAGGAGAGAATCGACAGGAAAAAATACCTCAGACAAATGCTGTAATAAACACAACAATTAGGTTTCCTTCTAAAAATTCAGAATTTCTGATACTAGCCAAGCACAGCAGGAGGGCTGCAGTGTGGCAGAAGGACACAAAGTGCCCTGTGCCCTCACCACCAGCAGCAGCTGTGGCTGGAGCCACTGCAAGGAGCCCAAATGGAGGCACAGCAGGCTGGGGGGCTGTAGCACCTGGAAAGAGCCATCAGCAGCTGGAAACATCTGGAAACACAGCTGGGAAAATGCCATGGTGAAAGGGTGTGCTGCTGGACACCACAGGCTGTGGGTGACCCACGGTGGGGTGAGGACACCACTGAGGGAGCCAGGCTGAGGTGGGGACACCCCAAGGAACGGTGGCCAGGAGTGTCACAGCTGAAGGGACAGCAAGGAGGGACAGTGAGGAGCTGCAGAGCCAGAGCTCCTGCTGGAAACCAGCCCTTGGCTCAGCTGCCTTGCACCTCACCCTGATGGGGAGAGGCTGAAGGGCAGCCAAGGTGCTGGGACTGGCCCCACACAGGGGTTGGGCACAATTTCAGCCTGGGCAGCTGGGAGGAAAGGCTCAGGTGGGTGATTCTTTCCTTTTCTCAACACAAATGCAGTGTTGAGAAGCTTGGGTAATTTGACAATAAGTTATGTAAAAAATTCTGTGACTCCATGGTGTTTTACACACAGCTCAGTTCATTTTCAAATAAACTGTAAATTGGAAAAAGTGACAATTAGCTTTATAATACTTGCTTTTTAAAAAAGTATTTGCACAATATTTCCACTGTACTACTTAAACAAAATCATTAATTTGGACTCAAGTTACATATGTTTTTACTTTTTGGTTTTTGGGGGGTTTTTTGTTTGTTATAGATGAGCCTTTTGATTTTCCCAAAGTAAAATTTTCTCTTAAAAAAACAACTTTTCTTTTTTCTTCCTACATATTTCACAGTAACTGTTACAACTACTGATAAACACAGATCATACACTAAAAAATGGCTGGTCAGGCATCTTAGTAATTACTCTAGTTGAAACAGTCTTTCAACTTACAGAAGTTATTTAGATTACACTTAATCACATTTAAGGACAGTAAATCTTTTTTTTTTTATAAAGTATGTAATTATATCTTCACACAACATGAGTTTCTGCTCATTATGCAATTTGCATGGAAAGGGATTGATATGACAGTCTGAACTGCTTGCTATGTGTTAAAAATACTGTATATGTACATATACTCCATGCACATATACTTCATTTTCTATACAATGTCAATTATTTACATTTGTGTCTCTGGGGTCATTTAATTTAGTACACAAAGGACACTTCCCTTGTAGCAAGAAAACAAAAAGGTCAAAATCTTCTTTATATTCAAGAAGTTGAAGATGTTTACACCTTGGAGAAAACAGTTTTTTTTACAAAGTATTGGCAAGAGAATATCAGCAAAAGAAAATTTATGCAACAACCAGGTCCTCCTCCCTTCCCTCCCCTGAAAATCATAGTTCTGATGTCAGTTTTGGATTTCTTGAAGTCATCCTTACCCACGAGATTAATCCCATTACTCTTAAGTACAGTAAAACCAGCTTCTTGTCACAGCTTTAAAACTTGTACCTGTAGCATGGAGAACTCACTCACACACAAGAGGAGCTGCTGAGGATCTGATTTCTCACTGCTGTTAAACACCAGCAAACCTCTACGCAACTTACACACATTTCAGACCAGAACATGAACATTGAGGAGCTGTGCTGGCATTTTATTGTGCCATGCAAGACTTAGCAAAAGCTAAAATCTGCATCTATTAATACTTACATTTTACCCATTTTGCACTGTATTGCAGAAGCTGAGGGGGAAAAGCAGGGGGGAAGGCAGACACACCCTGAAGTTAAAAGTTATGGTAATATACAAAGTTCAAGCAAACTAAAAAAAAAAAAAAACAAACCAAACCAAAACTATTCTTTGCAACCCCAGACTGAGGGCTACTTCTTTAAAGGGTTTTAAATTGTAAGTCACAGACAAACAGCCCAAAATCTCTGGCACTTAAAGAATCTCACACTGAAAAAACAAATGTGTCTGTCCAGTGGGTTCAGATGTCATCCATCACCTGTCTGCAACTTTTTTCAAGTGGCTTGAGTGAAGTAAAACATGACAGATAGCAATAATGGTGGAAGAAAAATAGTAAAAAAAAAAAATCCTGAGACACTTACAGCAATTATATTGAAGAAGTCATCATCTCCAAGGGTATCCAAAATAGATGAAACTGTCTGTTTTGCAATAGTCAGGCGAAGTCCTTTCATACTGCCACTGACATCCACTAAAATTACCACATCTTTTGGAGAAGTTGCTGCCTGGATGTACCTGAGATGAAAGAAAAACTTTTAAATACTGAACTTTTATAATTTCAAATCTCTTAAGCACTGGCAGTCATCAATTGCCTACCACTTTCTGTTTCTGCAGTCAAATGCAATGACTCCATTCTCATCAGGTTCCCATTTAATTCCTGTTTAAAAAAAATAGAGGATAAAATATTAAATTCAACTTTCACAGTACCTGTGGAAAATGCATCTGTGGTATTGGGGCTAAGTGGCAGTTAATGGAGTTTCATACTTCAATCTAATGCGCTGTGCCATCATAACATAGGATTTACTGGGGGGAAGAAAAGTTCCTAAAATAGAGCAACCAGAAATAATTTCTTTTCCTCACTCCCTTTTAGCCTACTGTAAGTTGAAACCTCATCAGGTCTAATATAGTTCATTGCACTATTTTCACAAAATTCTTTCCAATTCTTGGTCTTTGGTGCTGGCAAGCTTTATCACATCTTGCCAAGTCCTTTCCAGACCTTGAGCACTTCTGACCCATGGCTGGCTCCAGCAGCTCCCCTGACACTACCTGCTTCACTCACAGGTCATACTCTGAATTTTCACATCACTGTGAAGACATAACATCTCCTGGTTGTGGGTCAGAAGAAATAGGATAAAAAAATCTCCAAGGAAAAAAAATGACAGGGGAACTCTTCCTGCTTTTTTCACTCATTTTCGAGCACAAAATAATAGCCTTGAAAATAAGGACTAATATTTGAAATATCATGGAGCTTGGGAACAGAAACGTAATCTAAAACTAAACAGATTAGTAGTCATTACTCTCAGCCACTTTCAGACATGCAGGCTTATAGTGAACTTGCTTAAACTCAAGACTTAGAGAAACATGGGTTGCTAAACCACATCAGCCAAAGGAACAGTACCACTATGAGCCTGATTCAAAGGTACAGAAGCTGAGAATCAGTTTATTTAGCCTCCTAGTTTATTATAATGTGGTAAATTTTGTATAGCATTAAGCATAAAACTTAATAGGCAACAATATATGTTTTAATCTATTTCTATAGAAATAATACAATGATGTGCTTTATTACAGCTGGTGTGAAAATAAACTTTCAAAGAAGTTTTTTAATTTTTTTAATGTAAATCTGCCAGGTTAAGTGGAAGTTTAAAAACAAACAAAAAAAACAAATAATGATGAAGTCTTACTGTGTGCATTGATAGAGCACAGAATTCACGCTTACTACTATATGAAGGATCTAATCCTTTTGCTCTCCTTCTCACAGACTGTTTAGAAGTTTTTCACATTTTTCACATGTCTGTATATGTCTGTCTGAATAGAAATTTTATGAGTTATCATGAGGGTTTCAGCTGCAGATAAAAATTGGTAGAAAAAACTCAAATTTTCAAAATGTTGGTTGGAAATCTCTCTGAGAAGTAGATGAGGTAAAATCAAATCTGCAAGTATGTGTGGCAGTCAGGATTTGTGACAATACTCAATGCAGCCGTGGAATTCTTTATTGTATTTTAAGAACTTCTCTCTTCCTACCTGGATATTGCCTGAAAAATCCCTTTGCACTTCCAAAGTACTGCCAGATGAGAGAAGGGTCACGATCAAAGTTATCAACAAACACCTTATTTAAAGATTCTGACCAATAAACTCCATTTACAATGGCTGGATCTGGAAAAAAATAAAGAACACACACAATGAAAAATTATTTTGTTAAGTATAAGAATCCCATAAACTCTACCATTTTCAGCTTATTCAATACCCAAAAGTCTATTGACTGAAAACTGTTGCAAAACGGTTTTAGTTCACTTTGTCAAATAAGTGATCCAAAATAAATAATTCACTTAAAGAACAGAAGTATGGCTCAAATAGGGCAAAGAAACCTGGTACTACTTTTTAGAGAAGTTAAAATTGTTCTTTAGAGCATCTATCTTGAACTACCACATCTAATTTAGATCATTTACTCAATGTACCTTCCCTAAATGCATGGAACGTCTCATGGTGACAATTAATTTTTTTAAACATTAAATTTGGTAGTGTTTGAAAGCCTTTATGTTGGAACAAAAAGTGAAACCTTTTATTTTTCACTTGAATATGCATAAAAACACATCTCATTTCAAATACTACTAGTTGTTATTTGGAAAACACTGAACCCACATTCCACAACAATTACCCAATTAGTTTTTATTTCCACTGAAAGAGAACTACAAAGCAAATCCTTGATGCTGAAACTGTTCTAAGACATCCCCATCCATCAATCCATAAGACCCCAGGCTGCTCAAGTGTGTCTTTAAGCTGCAGATTTGGTTCAATAGAGGGAAATGAGAAATCAATGAACATGTCTTAGAAAGTTACTGGATTTCAAACTGTGAATTTTGAAAGGTGAGAAACAATTAAGCTACAGGACATTCCCAGTTCAATCTTATGTGAAGTCAGCAGAATGGAAAGGAAAAAAACAGAACTGAAATCACAGATGCATTATTTAATTTGCAAAAGTGTGCATACATGAATACACAGTAACATTTGCTCAAGCATTTGAAATAAAGCAGCCATTAGCTTGCAAAATAATGTCACTGTACTGATTTCAGAAGACTGCTTCAAATGTCATTTTAATGGAGTGGAAAAAAAGGCAAATTGTTATCTTCCCCTTCATTCATCAAGAAAAAACAGCAGAAAAATGGAAATGTCTCAGCTATACAACTTTGCATGTTGCTTTCACCTAAATATTTAGGCTTATATAGAAGAAATGCTGAAGAAGCAAGGTCAACAAAACAGATATTTTTAAAACATGTGGAGTGCAGTTACTTGTTTCTCTAGATGATGACATAGACACTTAAAATCTGCCACACCAGACATATCAAACAAACTGATGTCACTGGTCCAAGGGCACTGACTTCAGTCCTGCCTAGCTGGCAAAATCATTGTCCAATAGTTTCCCAATCTGTAGTTACCCCAATAATAAGCTGTGACCAAAATATCACAAATCAGCTCTCAAAACTGAGATCTATCACTGGTTTGTAAAAATATGCTCCTATGTCAGCATCCCAAAATATCAGCCCATTGTTCAGCATTTAGACATTACCTGAGCGTTAATGTGAGAATTCCATTCCTCAACCCACAGGAATTTCCCAGTACCAGTTCAAAAACTGATATTCTGATTCTGCTCCTATGCTTGTATAATGGAATATCCAAATCACTAAAAAGCACAGTGGCACTATTAACTCAGCATCACAATCCTGAGATAAGGCAATAAGTTTAATTCATCTTTGAAAAGAGTGACCAATTCAGAGGGTTGGGTTTGGGTTTTGTTCTTTTACTTTTCCTGATGTTGCTAGGAAAGTCTGTTGAGAGGAAAAGAGAAGGCACCATTTCTCAAGCCTCCAGAGGGCTACAGGCTCTTTATATGCCTGCAGTCATCAGGATTTGTGAAAAGCCAAACAAATCCAACTGAATAATTCTATATTCATTTATATTCAAAATAACCTGCAGTGCTTCTTAGCAACTTATGTTTGGATGTCATTCCAAGACTGCCCATTGTACCTAGGTATTTTACAGTTTTATCAATTTATTGGATGTCTCCTGTCCTGGATTCCTCAGGGCCTAAGTTTTAATGTCCTTCCCTAATGAATCAGAGCTGTAATGCCACCTGTGAGCAGAACCCTTTTCCTCCCAACCCAATGACAATTTTCTTTGAATCCTATATGCACTCCATTTCCATAAGTTTATGGCACAACTTCAGTCATTCGCCTCTTATGTTCTGAACTGAAGTCTTTCCAGTAGCATATAAAAATATATTTGTATATAAAAAATACAAATATAAATCTCTTTAAAAAATTATTTTGAAATATCCATGCATATTTTAGATTACATTTTTTAGACCATCTGTGAAGAGCCACTTAACATGTTTATATATCTATATTACAGATTAGAGAACTCTAATAAATATAACTCTGGAAATAAAATCAGGAAATTTTCCCTGAACAAGTCTGATAGAGTCCATATTCTGCATTAGGCTAACAACACTAATCACCCAACTCCTGATCACTCTAAACACTAATCCAGTGACTCTGAAACTAATAGGCTTATTTTTTTTAGCTGGAAGGAGCAGGCATTAGGCATTTTAAATAATAAAGAGGGCACAATTAAATGTGACCTGGGCTCACTGTATTCCTTCAAAATGAAAGCTGGTGACAATTCCCTGCCTTCCCACACCCTGCATGTCTGTTATGCTGGTTGCTCTTTTTACAATATATCAAGTTACATTTTAGGCACCAACCACTTCAATAAAAGAAGCATATAAGGCTACAATCAGTTTGATCCTTGTAATACAAGGAAAAGTGGTGTAGGGACAAATGTAGTCCCAGAACAAAACAGGAGACCTGGAAGTCATGAGTCTCTGCTGGCCGCTACACCTTCAGGCAGAGGGATTTCACTCTGGAGCTCTTTGTTCTGGACTTTATAACTCTGCTACATGGGTGCATCTCTGTCCACATGCAGCATCCCAAATACAGCTGCATTTCTGACCATATGTCTCATTAAAATCTTACACTCTCATCATCTAATAACCTGTATATTAAACTTGTCCTGGGCAATTTCCACTTTTAGTAATTACGCTAAACTGTTTAAATTCCCCCAGTACTTCATTTAGAAAGAGTATTCTTAAGTTTTTCAATTACTGCTGCATCCCCCAGATAGTTAAATGTCAGTGGTGGTAAATTAATCTGTGAGAATATCCAGAAATTTGGTGAGGGAGAAAAAAAATATAAAAAATATAAACCTTAATATAAATGCAAAATCATCAATGTGAAGTTATGGGGTTCAAAGATAATAAATGGAAATAGCTTTCACCACAGTTTTTGAAATATGATTTCTGCTTTTGCTTCCTGGCAGATAAAATATAATAAAATATTCCCTTTCCTGTGTATTTTAGATGAGCCGGTTTGCAATTATATGGGATTTTGCTCCACCATTGTTTGTGTAGATGTTACCTGTTTTTACTGACATTTAACATAAATCCAACCTCCAGGAAAATAAGTACAGTGACACGAAACTGAAATGAGATTGCCTGAGAACAGTACAAATGCATGTAGCAATTAAGTGCCTGTCACAGATCCTGCTGGCCTGAAAAGGACTGAACAAAAGCAAGGAAGGGGCACAGACTAAAAGATGTGCAACAGCCAAAGGTAATGACTTTTTTTTATGTTCACAGAATCCAGAGTATGGTAAGTCTATAGAACAAAACTAATACCTACACAACTCATTTTACATTCCAATTATTGCAGCACGTTTTACAGAAAATAAGGGAAACCACTGAGGAACTCAGTAACTATGAAGTTCTCTTTCTTGCCATGTTCTGCTTTATTTTCAAGAAAAGAAAAGTTTCTAATGATCCTTAATCTTTTCTCCCTGTTCTATTCCTGTTGTGATATAATCATTACTTTCTCCTGGAAAGCTGTCAGAGATGCTGGCATTGAAAATGATCTTTCCTCCTGTAATATCTGACAGCCCCAGCAGCAGCCCTAAACTGCAGAGCAGCTCTCTCCTACCACAGAGCAATGCAAGCACAGCCTACGGGCTCAAACACTGGAAAAGGAATGCAAAATCCTGCACTTTTTCTGGCTCAGAGATAGCAACAATATTAGCTTAGTTTTTATGACATTGACAACATATTTAGTCTGGTCATATTTTAAAGAATAACAAAATCACATACTTTGCTGGGACATATACCAACAATCTAATAATTACACTACTCAACACTAATATGAATGCTTTTCAGGGTGGTCCAGCAGACTCAAGAGCTGGGGCTGGATGCCAGTTTTGGCAACTGCCTTCACTTTTTTCTCTCTTTTCCCCTCTCTCTGACTCCAGGGTAATGTGGATGCATCAGCTCACAGATCAAAGCATCTGGCCATCTGTAGACATAAAAGAAGGTGTTTGTCCATTTTGCTTCATGTGCTAGGAACTGTTCACCAATGTCAGAAATCACATTCCCTCCTTGCAAGAATATGGGATGCTAAAGACTTCCAGTACGTGACTGCATAAAGGCAGAGCAGTAGGCACTTAGTGCCTTCATCTTCCAACATTCCCTAATAACCTCACCCTTCTCCTTTGAAGTGGCAGCACAAGAACTGGAGTATGGCCAGATGTGTTTATTTTTATGCTGAGTTTCATGAGTGCATTTGGGCGACATTTTGTATTGTTTTATGGTTGGGGGTGTAGTGTTCTTCTTTTATTTGTGGGGAGGAGGTTTGTAATTTTTTTTTTAATTAACGAGATGGACTGAACTTCAACTTTAGCTCATTTGAAAGCCAGAATTAACAGCTGCAAACTCCTCACTAACAGCATTCTGAGATAGAGATTCATTCCTGTCTCCTAAGGGCTTGCCTTCTCATGAGTTACAGAAAGTGTCCTGCAGCAAATCAGAGGCAATTTGAGCTCACTTCATTTGGTGCTGGCCTGGCTGGACTTTGCTTAACTTCTCAGATGTAACAGCTAAAAGCAATCAGTGTGGGGGCTGGCCAGTGGGCAGGTTAGAGCAAAGCTCTGGAAACAGCATATAGGCACCAGCTATGAAAATAAACATTAACTTTTGTTTGAAATTAAAGGAGAAACTCAGAGCAGAAGTCAAGGGCATCCCAGGACAAAATAGAAGCTGCTGTTCCAGGAGCCAG